TAAATCAAATGCGAGGCCCTGTGTTGGAATGGATTGTAAGATCTCATCCCTGATTTCAACATATCTAACTTCTTCAAATAAATGTGCATGTACTAACTGTCAGCCACAGAGTACATGTCACAGTGACTTGACAGAAAAATCCAAACCCCAAGCAAGGGTTTGGAATTAGCGGGTGTCACCCCCTGTGAAACCTGAGTACACTATCACCTTACGCCAACTGATCGCTGATGGTCTTCTGTTGACCATCGACTTTCTCTCCAACCTCACCTCAAAATTTGATTCAATGAAGACCCGCGGTTCCATTGTACTAGCCGAGTACGACTCAGTTGCATCAACAAGTGCATTTTGACTCATCTTGCAAGTCAAAGCCGGTCTCAATGAGCCCACAAGTAAAAAATGCTGTTTGTTTTTTGTTTTTTCCATCATTCTTCCTAGCTCCTTAGGGGGTTGATAAGCGCACGCCAATCTCCCCTGCAGCAGATTGGCGTGCAAGGCCGCACGCCAAACTTCTTTGGCGTGTGGGCCTGCACGCCAAATTGCGCCTGGCGTGCAGATTGGCGTGCGCCATGGGGGTTGGCGTGCGCTTATCAACCCCCAGCTCCTTAACCATCCACTCGTATTTTTCTCTTATTTTTCTGAAGCTTATTGAAAAAATTGAAAAAAATGTGGATTTTCCTCTTGGTGTATCTTTTTTTTTCTTTGCCAATGCAATAAAATGGCTGGTATGATTAGTTTTCCAATCCCCCATTGTTCCATCTCCCCAAAAAACAAATCTCAAAAAGATTGATTTTGACCCCTACAAAAGGATGTTTGGGGGTTCGGGTTTTTCTGTCAACCCACTGTACACCATGGGGCGGGTTTTAATTAGAAAACCCCCCCAGCAAACGGATGGATTCCGTCCCAAGCGCCCTAATACAGGAGGAATTGAGATTTTTGAGGAGAGGGCACAAAAGGTTAAGGACCTTTTTGGGAATGGTTCACGGAAAAAGAATGAAAGAACCAATATTTTTATTCACAAGTATCTAGCCAAAATTAAATAGACTAAGTACATGTGCACAAAATGTGGTAGGATGAAAATGAATAAAAGAGTATTTTGAATAAAAACTGAGAGGAAGGAATGAATGATTTCATGGAAGAAACAGCCGGACAATTCTTCTCAGTCTCTTTTAGAAAAGCTAGCAAATTAATCATGAAAAAACAAACATACAACCACAAATGTATAAGAGGCGTTAATTCTTAACAATCAGTTTTAAGGAATCAAATAATGACCAGAAAAAGAAAGAAGTCAACAATAAGACTTGAGTTGCTAGAATAAAATTGTCTTGATGAGTTCTAATTAGACTACACAAGAACAGAAGATTCAACACAGAAAACAGCTATGGTTGAATATAATCCAGTCTGAGACAGGATGATTCAAGAAGAAAAAAGGAAGAAAAAGAGAAGGAAAAAGAAGGGTGATTTAGGGAGGAGTAGGCCAAGGAGGTGAAAACTCAACAGTCCAAATGATACCAGGCAGTGGAAACCATCCAGAGGATGGTGTACAGCCTGGTGTCCATCGGACACTTGATTGGGAGTGTCTGATGGACAGCAAAAAAAACCATAAACTGGACATTTCTCAGAGTGTCCAATTAATGGTTTTCACCAGGGTACAGCAGTTGAAAAAAAATGGTGGATTGTTGAAAAATCAGCTTGGGGGTGGTAGATGGTCAAAAAACCATCCAAAAATGCAACAGGGGGTCTATAAACAAACTTTTGGCCAGAGCAGTACAGAGTCTATAGCCAAGTGACAAGGTACTGGATGATCAGGCACCTTGCTGGTAGGAACTGATGGTGCCTTCAGGTCATGGGTTCAAGCCTTGATTCCTGATATTTTTTGGTCCCCATGGGCTTGCAAGCCTACCATCCAATGGATGGTTTGGCCCTACCATCCGGGTTCAGAAAAATGCAATTCACATCCAATGGATGCTTGTTTCAGGGCCAAAGTTGGATGGCATTTGGTACATCTGTCTGGGTGTCCAAATGCCATCCACCATGCCCGGTGGTTTACCCAGTAACTGAAACACCTGTACTTATTTACATAAGTACTTATCCATAATGTTGTTTACCTTTACCTCTTGTTATCTTATCATTATTATTATCTTATCTTAATTCACCTTATAATATTTTATGTTATCTTTATTGATTACATGTAAGCTTAAATATTATCTTATCACTTAATTACTTATCCATTAAATACATAAGTAATTATCACTTACCTTTCACTCCTTTATCCGTGAAATACCTGTACCATAAGTTATCCCTGTTCTACAGTATTTTCACGGTCAAATATCATGACAAATAAATATTTACATGTATTGAACACTGTTGTATAAATAAATAGAATTAATACATTCAATACGTGCACTGATCACAATTATGACTGCATTATTAAAGGATCTGTTAAGAGTACACATCAAGAGCTGCTAGTACTTTGAGCAACTAGTACATATTTAAGATGTCACTTACAGATCATCAATAATAATTATCAGTCACTCAATTGATGTGCTCATTCTCCTGGCCTAAGCTCCCTTGATCCTGAGTGCTCATTCTTGCCCTTTTCAAATATTCTGGAACTTATAATCCGTGCCATTTTCACTTATTAATCCACAGAATATTCAGACACCAGTTAAACACATTTAAAATTTACTTTGATACATTACACGTAACCCAACTTAAATCAAGTCTACTTTTATTGTTCTTAAGCTTCAGTAACTTACTCAACTTATCCACAATATTCACAGCCTTGCTGAATAAACCAACAACACTATTTATTAATCTTCAAATAATTTTGTTAAAGCTTAATAAGTATTGCTAGCCCTTTCCCTTTGGGGAACCAAATCAATCCCAGGTGAGTCCTAGTACCCTGGATGCCTATTAATACCAAGTATTGATCCGGATGCACTGTTGATAGCAAGCCTCTCAGTAAATACCATACTGATAGAGTGAAACCTCCTCATTACAGGACTGGTATTAATCACCCACTACCTGCCACTCACCACGCTCAAAACACTCAGTCAACTCATAGTAACAACCGTCTCACCAATAAATACTCAGGTTAGTTACCCAGAGGCTGACACTAACTGAAATAATTTTCCCAGCTGCATCTGATGATCCTGAAGAACTAACATTCAAGATTCCCACTTCAAGAGCAATAACTCACAATTTGGCACCCAATCACCCAATCAAGTTTTAACCAGAAAAAGTGTGGCACATAATAAGCCGGAAACATGGGCCTCCAGTGGTGTTGCTTGTAAGAACAAAACTCTGTTTTTATGTTCATCCTGAGTGGATTAGATCCGTTGACATACTCAAATCACCTCACGTACTGTCCCTGCCCGGGGTGCTGCAAGTATCTCCACCCAAATACGCTATCTTTGTCAGCCTATGTGATGCCAAGACAAGTGTCTTCTAGCTACACAAGGTGAAAAATGTAAGAGTTTTTATGGTAAAAACTCTGGGATAAAACTGGTACAAGTAATTCCAAAGAACTACGTAGAATTTATGGATTAAATCCAAAATATGGGCAATTTATATTAAGAAAATTAATATAAATAAAACCAGAGGGGCCTGATAAACTCTAGGGGTGGTTCAATCCCTCTGAGGTATTGTGCAAAAAGCAGAGGATTTAGGTACCTGATACACTGGGGCCTGTAACAGGTGTGGTTTAAATCCCAGGGGATGATTCTTATGGGAAAATCTTCAAGAAAGGGTTATTACTTACTAGTAATAATCCTAAGGGGTCTTTAGGATCTTCTTAGTAGAAACTGGACAGTTGGGAGTGCTCAAAATAGTTGATTTTGGGTGCTGGGTGATAACTGGGGAGTTTCTTGAGGGTTCTTGAGGCTTAATAACCGTAAAAATAGAGATGGGCGGGGATAATCCATTGCGGATATCCGCTATCCGTAATAACCGTAAAAATAGAGATGGGCGGGGATAATCCGTTGCGGATATCTGCTATCCGCTGGCGGATACCCGCCAGCCGGTGCGGATTTGGCTCCGGATGCCTGTTTTTCCGCCCAAACCTGGCGGATATCCGGGTATCTCCAAGGATACCCGAGGCTGGAAGGAGGAGATGGCCGGCTGGAAGGGTTTCCTTCCAGCCGGCTGCCTCGCTGCCGAGTTAAAAGGGGGGGGGTATCTGCGGGTATCCGCGCGGATACCCGCCAGCACCAGGGGATTTCCGCCAGTGGGTTGTGGTTGCGGATGCGGATATCAAATTCCGCTGAAATTGTGAGCAGATATCCGCATCCGCGAGGATATCCGGATTCAACGTGACCATCACTAAGTAAAAATGGTAATAACTAGGCTAATTACAGGTGTAAGGGACTTTTAAATGGTAAGTATGTTTCTATCTGGTATTCTAAAGCTGGGGGATCATTATTTGGGTGGTCAGTGTTGAGGCATGAGATCATGATTTGAAATACAAATGAGAAAGCATGTAGCTCTGCCTCGTGTCAGAGTGTCTAGTGAGTGGATGGTGACCCCAAAAAGGGGTTGCAACAGTCAGAAGGCCCTTTAAATACCTGTGGAAGGCCTCAGGGGTTGCTCAGGGGAGCTTAGTAGGACTTGGGGGCGCTTTTGGGCCCATTTTGGCCCACATAGTGATGTAACAAGGGCTGAAACCTTGGGGATAATATTCTAGAAGCTCCAAGGGGTCATGCACAAAATTATTACAGCCAAGAAAGTCCCATTGGAACCTGTGGATAGGGGTTACTCTGTTACGTGGAGCAGTTTCCTTGGAAATGGGCCACAGAATATTCCAGAGGTGTCTTCTGAGGCTTGCTAAACGTGTTACCCATTGGAATATGGTTACTGTAGTATTCTCATGGATATTCTAGCTTTTTTATATTTTTATTACACGTGTGGGGGCTTTGTTTTCACGTGCAATGGGGATTCTGGGGCTTTTGTGGCCCATCTCTTGGATTGTCAGATGGGGTGATGCCAAGACCAAGGTTTTCTAGTTACACCCTCTGATGGGTGTTTTGGATTATATGAGGGGTATTGAAAAGGAACCGAGGGGCCCAAGTTATGGGGGTTTTTAGGGTGCCCTCGGGGATGCAAGCCTGAGTCTAATATGAAGACTGGTGAAGTCTACAACGGGGTCTTGACAGAAGGCAAGGGTATTTGGTCTGCGTATCAGAGTAGGAGGAGAAGGTTTCAATAGCAGTCAAGATTACTTACTTGAGTCAATTTTCCTTCAAGTACAAAGCGAAGGTGGTGGCGGTGTCCAAGGGCAAAAGTGCAATGCTCAAGGAGGTAGTAAACCTGAGAGTGGAGTCGCTGAGATCGGGTTGAGGGTAGGTTGTGCCTGAGTAAAGTATAAGGATGAGAGATGGATGTTACTTTGTACAATGAGAGTTGGAAAATTATGATCTGGAAGTAAAAGTGTGTATTTGATGCCCTTCTGACCTGCAAAACTGGCTCCTCTTATACCTTGCTCGGCTGGTCATCAATGGCGTATGGGAGTCCTTATTTTTTCTGGTCATTGAGCCTTCTTCTGTCATGAGGTGATGATTGGCGAGGACAACATTAGTCCTTTCTTTCTTTAGGTGTGACATTTGAGGATCAGTGCTGGAGATGACGCGGGGATCTTAGTGCTGCTGCAAGGTTTCCAGCGCGCGTGCCTGCTGTCCTTTCCTTACTCAACTTTATATGCTTGAGAATTTAAATGTGTTCACCATAATTTCATCTTTTTAAAATTCAATTTCATTTTTGCAATAAATTATAGGTTCATATATGAAAATAGGAATGTATTTTAACAAGGACTTGGTCAGTTTGTCCTGGTTTCAGTGACAAGCTGAAATGGATACTGGTGCGCAGCATGACTACGCGGCACATGGGTTTGGAGACAGTATTCCACACTGCTCTATCTTCTAAACCATACACAATACTCCAATTCTGTGACTAGATTTAGAGTATATGCATTATGCATAATGCATACGTGTCACAGTACATGTAAGCCACAGATTACATGTCACAGTACCTTTCATGTACCAAGTAACTGCAATACCTGTACTTAATTACATAAGTACTTATCCATAATGTTGTTTACCTTTACCTCTTGTTATCTTATCATTATTATTATCTTATAATATTTTATCTTATCTTTATTGATTACATGTAAGCTTAAATATTATCTTATCAGTTAATTACTTATCCATTAAATACATAAGTAATTATCCATGTACCACAAGTTATCCCTGTTCTAGAGTATTTTCACGGTCAAATATCATAACAAATAAATATTTACATGTATTGAATACTGTTTAATAATTAAATAGAATTAATACATTCAATACATGCATTGATCACAATTATGACTGCATTATCAAAGGATCTGTCAAGTGTACAGTGCCTAGACAGTGAAAAGTGGCTGTGTATTTTGGATTCCAGAGCTCTAGTGCCCAAATTTGAAATCATGACTCTTGGTCAGGTGGTGCATAATAGGTCCCGAAAAATGAATATGAAATAATAAAAGCAAAAAATTCAAAATTTGTGAAAAAATAAAAAACAAAATTGATTTTTTTCAAAAGCTTTGATATTCATTTTGGGGGAGTGGGAGTGCTGAGAGAAAGAAAGATTGGGAAATGAGAAGAATGATTATGAATGAAAATTTTGGAAAAACTGGTTTTCAGATGGCTTCAAACAGCTGTTGAGTGGGGCATTCACCAGCCCACATTGCAGCAAAGCACTAGAATTTACTGTTTTGGCTCCAATCTGGACCACCATCATTTATAATCATTCTTCCCACGTTCCATTCTTTCTTTCTCTCAGCACTTCCACTCCCCCAAAATCAATAACAAAGCTTTTGGAAAAAAACATTTTTATTTTTTATTTTTCACAAATTTTCAAACTTTACTTTTTGCTTTTATTATTTCATATTCATTTTTTGGGAGCTATTATGCACCACCTGACCAAGTCTTATGACTTCAAGTTTGTGTTTCAGAGCTCTGGAATTCAAAATAAGCAGCCACTTTTCACTGTCTACCCACTGTACACATCAAGAGCTACTAGTACTTTGAGCAACTAGTACACATTTAAGATGTCACTTACAAATCATTGCAAATAATGATAAGTCACTCAATTGATGTGCTCATTCTCCTGGCCTAAGCTCCCTTGATTCTGAGCGCTCATTCTTTCCCTCTTCAAATATTCTGGAACTTATAATCTGTGCCTGTTTCACTGATTAATCCCCAGAATATTCAGACACCAGTTAAACACGGCTAACATTTATTTTGATACAGTACACATAACTCAAGTCAAATCAAGTCTACTTTCATTGTTCTTAAGCTTCAGTAACTTACTCAACTTATCCACAATATTTATAGTCTTGCTGAATATTCCATCAAAAATATTTATTAATCTTCAACTAATTTTGTTAAAGCTTAATAGGTATTTTTAGCCCTTTCCCTTTGGGGAACCAATAAATCCCAGGTGAGTCCTAGTACCCCGGATGCCTATTAATACCTTGTATTGATATCTCTATATTGATCCAGATGCGCTGTTGATAGCAAGCCTCTCAGTAAAGACCATACAGTTACTGATAGAGTGAAACCTCCTCATTACAGGACTGGTATTAATAACTACCTACCACTCACCACGCTCAAAACACTCAGTCAACTCATAGTAACAACCGTCTCACCAAAAAATACTCAGGTTAGTTACCCAAAGGCTGACAGTACCTGTGATCTGGGGGTACCTGTTAATTATTCAAGTGTATATTCCAGCATGAAGAAGTTACAATAATGGGTACCTTTGGCTGAGTTACCCTAGGTTGAATTGTATTTAGATTCAGAATCTGCAATAATAATCAAATATTTCTTTCTACGTTCTAGGTTATTTACTTATTTTATGTTTTTTTATATTATTTACATAAGTAATATTTTTTCTCTTACTTATGTAATATTTTTAATTTATACTTAGATTTTTTATGTAATTTATCATTTAATTTGCTATGACAGGTTGTCTCTGCCATAGTAGCAAGCTGACAATTACAGGGTGAAGGAGTTAGAATTAGGGGTACCTTTGGCTGAGGTACTCTAGGTTAAATTGTATGCAGATTCAGAATCTGCAATAATAATTCAAGTTTTCTTTATGCTTTTTAAGCTATTTATTTATTTTTATGTATTTTTTATCTTAATTACATAAGAAATCTTGTTTCTTTTACTTATGTAATAATTTTACTTTATACTTAGATTTTTATTTGATTTATTTATTTTATTTTCTATGACAGGTTGTCTCTGCCATAGTAGCAAGCTGAAAATCTTGGTTAGTTGTTTCCATTGTCAATAGCCACTGTTGTAGTTGGAAACGCCTGGTTTTCATTGCTTCCCCCCGTTCCCCCTCTTGTCTTCTTCATACTCCAAATGTGGAGTTTGCACACCCATACAACACCCCCCCTCAAACTCCACACCAGTGTTTACAACTATGAAAATGATAGAGATAGATGTAAAAGAAATAAAAAAAATGAGAAAAAATTATAAAAGTGAGATAAAAAGGACAAGACAATGAGAACAAGTTAGGAAATGTAAAACTTGAAATATCAATGTTTGAAGAAAAAATAAGAACCTGATAAAAAAATAGAAATTTGTAAAAAAATAAAGAAAGCAGTCATATGAGATTATGAGATATGTTTTTTTTTTTTTTTTTTTTTTTTTTTCAGTTTGGAAATATTTTATTCAAGGAAATTGAGTGAAGATTAGCCCGGAGAGATTTAGTGAAGAAATCAGCGATGTTGGAAGAAGTGGAAACCCAATCCAGCTTGATGCCATGTTCACGAACCGCATCATTTACAAAAAAGAAGTTGTGTTCTAAGCTTTTCATCCGGCCTTTTGAAGCGTTGTCATCTGAGACTAACACCGCTGCCCTATTGTCGCATTTGAGAAGGATAGGGGGATTGAGGTCGAGAGATTTGACGATTGGAATGAGGAATAATAGGAAATCAACCGAAGAACCAAGAGAAATGAACTCTGCCGCGCAAGTCGACGTTGCCACCACCTTTTGACGTCTTGAACCCCATGCAATCTGACTGCCGAGAAACGTGATGATAAACCCTGACGTCGAGCGTTGGAACTCCTCCGCCCCAGTTGGCATCCAACCATGTGACCAATGAGTCCGATGTTACCTCTAATTTCAACCGCTTGTCCCTGTTTGATGCAAGATATTGGATAAGATGTGATAAAGCCGCCCAATGTGTTTCGTTGGGATTTGAACTGAAACGAGCCAAATAATTGACCGCATAACTGAGGTCAGGTCGTGTGCCGAGCGCTAGATAATTGAGGGATCCAATAAACGACTGGTATAGAGTCGGGGACACAGGATCACCCCAGTTTGTGACAAGCGTGTCGCCTAGTAAGGGAGTATACGTCGGAATGATTCGGTCCTGAACCTGTTCCCGGAATTTCTTGATGGTTTGGTCGATGAGTAATTGTTGACTGAGGAAAATAGCGTCGCCGGAGTACTCTAGCCTGAGTCCAACTAACTTCTCCGGCTTCGCGTCCCACTTGACTCGTAAGCTTGATTCGAGGTTCTCACAGAGCTGATCTAATGCTGTTGGGTCGTTGCTGAATACAATGCTGTCATCCACGTGGATACAAATGATGATGATTAATTGGCCCCTGCGATATTGGTACAAGCATTCTTCGACTTTGTCGCAGTCGAATCCCCATCCATGGAGGAGATGTTTGAAGTGTTTCCACCAGCATCGGCTGGCTTGTCTTGTGCCGTATAGTGCTTTCTTCAGTTTGAGAACTTTCCCAGTCAAGTGCGGAAACAGTTCAGTGGGAGGATCGACGTAGATTGTTTCATCAATCGGACTGTGGACGAAAGCGCCTGTGATGTCAAATGAGTTAATGGACCATTTATTCTTGATGGACAAGGTTAGAAGCATGCGGAGAGTAGTGAGGGATGCGGTAGGGGCAAAGGTGGATCGAACATCGATGCCAAGTCTTTGTTTGAAAACCCGTACTACAAAGCGAGCCTTGAGTTTGTCTACAGAGCCGTCAGCTTTTCTTTTAATGTCAAATACAAAACGAGTGCTGATCGAGTGTTTGGAAGCCTTCTCTTCAAAATCGAATGTGTTGATTTGTTCGAGTTGATTCCATTCAGATAAGCAAGCTGATTTCCACTGAGCTGCATTGGGTGATGAGAGAGCATGGCGGAGAGAAGTAGGGATTTCCGCATCTGAAATAGCCTGGATGTTGTCGATTTGAAGGTCTTGGTCTTCACATATTTCTTTCGTTGGTTCTTTGCCAAGGTGAAGTATTCTACGGATGCAAGGAGCGTCAGGGAACTTTTCGGGAGTAGGGATCAGTGGTTTGTGCTGGAAATCTAGGAAATCTGCACACTCTGAGTTGAATATCTTCTTGGTTTCAGGATCCCAGAAGAACCAACCACGTTCATCGTCCTGGTAATCCACCAGATAGCCAGTCCATCCTCGTTGATCGAGTTTGCGGCGGAGTTCCTTTGGGATGTGAACAGTCTCCCTGGCACCAAAAGGGTAAAA